CCAAGGGCTGATATATTAAAGATAAAGATACAGATAGGTTTGTATGGGTGGACCTAAACACCCAACCCACACGGTAATTAAATTAACTATATATATATATATATAATTGATGAATGGCATTTTTAAATAATTTAATTTTCTACGAAGCTCCAAAGGTTTATAATCAATTAAAATTATTAATTAAAAAGTAGAATAAAATGTAGTTTATTTGTTTATAAAAATTTAAACTTTCATATTAAATGCATTCCTTCCCATTTCACTTCAAGTTTTTCCCATTTTAACATTCTTAAAAGTTATAATATGATTATCGTCGTATTCGAAAATATCCTAAAAATGTACGCGAATGCACCCTAAAAAATGTAACTAAATGTACCCTCAAATTGTGCACGAAGGTACATCTTTATCATTTTTTTTCATGTGTATGTGTACATCTCATTTCCTGTCAGTAACATCTGGGGGTAATCCTGTATGACTTAAATTTTTATATTTATTTTTTCTAAATTATCTCCTTTAAAAAGATTTAATTATTCATTTTTTTTTCTTTTCCCGTCTCATTTCTTTAAAATCTCAAACTCACAAAATACATATAATTATAAAATTATTGTTTAAATCATTAGATAAATTCATTATTAATTAACATTAACTTAATACATATCAGAAAATAATTACTCACCTTTGCCTTAAGACACCTCTAAAATGTTTATTCCATCACTTTACTGCTTTCACTAACATTTATCTTAATTAAATGCACATATAATGATAAAAATCTAATTGTAAAAGAAATACTTACATATATCTAATGATGTATAATTAATTCACACATGTAAATCAATTAGGCAATTTCTTACCTTAAAATTTAGCTTGCTTTCTTACACAAGTTCTCTCTTTCTCCCCTCAATCTCAAAACCATATCTCCCTTACCTCATATACATCCTAATTTCAAATATCCTTACTTTTAACACTTGAGGAATAAACTTAAACATGCATATAGAATTCATTAATTAATTTACTATAACCCAAACTTATCTTACCAATAACTGTTTAACTCAGATAGTCCTTCCCACAAAATCTTGCACCAATAATGTCAGTTTTAAATTCATAAACCATAATTTTAATTTTTTAATCTATTTAATTAATTAAATTTATATATTTTAAAACTTAATTAAATCAAGTAAGTTTTATTTAGCTAAACTTAAAACTCACATTTTTCACCTTACATATGATCGGTCGGCTGCTCTATTCGCCACTCTCGAAGCTCCTCCTTTTCACAGAACAAGAGCTTCTTTCACTTCTGCTTTCAGTTGTTTCTCGCCCAGAACAATGTTGTGATTCTCTTCTTCCCTCGATCTCCTTCCTCTTATCCTTCGCGCGGCTCAACAACCCTAACTTCATGCACGATACTGTGAGAGCTCCATTTACTTTCTTCTCCATCAGTTGCAGCGCAACCCAACGGAGTACACACGATGTCGTTCCCCTCTTCTTCTTAGCTCCGGTCGTGTGGCTCTACCCAAAGCAGTGCAAGCGTCTCCTTCCCCCTCTTCCTCTGCACGCAAAGTTCTGCCTTTGGCCGCGGCTTCTTCCCTTCTCCTTTGACCGCCGTCACTCACAGAAAAGTCACATGATCCCTCCAACATTTTTCTTCTTCTCCTTCAACTTCCTTCCTCAACTAAGGCATGACAGAGATTCCCTCTCTCGATCTCTCTGCTCTTCCTCTCGCTTGTTCGTCTATTTCGAAAAAAAGGAAGTGTGAGATCGTATGTTATGATTCCTGTGAGGGGGTGCTACTCCTCTAACCATCGACACCCTTTATATTTATTTATTTCTTTATCTATTATTATTATTATTATTATTTGTTTAGTTAAAACTTCAAGTTATTACACCACATCCCTTTCCCCCTGCCTACTTGCTGTTGCTACTCTCCTGCTCTCCTGTTGCTGTCGCCACTCCATACCTGCACCTTGTTGTGATCGCAACACCCAACTAGCTCCTCTACCTACGGTCCAGTTACCACCCAACAACCCCGTACTCATGTCATTCGTGTTTGTTGTCGTTTATTCTGTTCCAAGCACTCTATTGTTGTAGTATTCTCGTATTTTGTCAATAATATTTTCAGTTCACTGTTTTTGGGGTTACGTAAATACATAGGAATTGAGTGGTATGTTTGTAAATCCTCCCAAAAAAGATATTATAAAATTACTTTTAAAACGTAAGCGCGTAAAAGTGCTTATCAATCATAAGATTTTTCTACATGTCTGTCACTCGCCGCAACTTGCAGTTTTGACAGGCATCATATGGAAAAAGGCACCGGCAACCACCATTGCCACTGCCTTATATCTAGATATCTAAGGGTTTATTTGGGGCAGCTACAACTGTTTCAAAAAGCAGCTATGAAGTTGTTGTTAGGATAAACCGTTGATAGAAAGTAGTTGTTGTTGAAATAGTATATATGTTGGGATATATCTATTATTTTGCAACTATTTTTGAGAAAAAGACTGCAATGCACTTATGTATATGTGTTAGTTGTATGTTCATCATCATTTCAGAAATAATTCAAACAGAACACCAGGAATAAATTTAAGAAGTTTACAAAAAAGTCATAAGTCATTTTGATACATCACTTAATATCAAATAACAAGAATTTAAATTATAATAATAACAAGTAATGTTATTAGCTCCTCCTATCATATTCTCTTCCAGTTTTCTCACAAAAGTTTTGTATTATATTTTGTCGGCTTTCTTTGTTGAAATGTGTTGTGGGTCAATTACTTAATTCTACTTCTTTCAGACAAACATTACAAAAAACAAGCACAACCTCTCTATCCTTCATGGCCAATTAAACCATTTTCTCTTGATTTGTCAATTGCAACTCGTTAGTGAGAAATATTAAATAAAATTATGAGAAAAGAGAAGCAATGAAAATTTGAAACTAAAGTTCATCTTCCATCCAGATAACTTAAAACAGAGAAATTTTAAAATTAGGAACAAAAATTCAAGGCTCAGAGTCAATAAAAAGATAAAAATAATCAACAATTAAACAATCAAAACAAGGCAGATGACCCATAAAAAAAGAATCTTGGTTGCCTTAGAATATTTTACGACAAACTCATATATATCAAAAAACATGGCAACATAAATGTCATCCTGAATAACCTCAAGGTCATATGACTCATCATAGTACCCTATATAAAAAAAATGATTCCAACTCCAATTTCAAAATCTTGGGATAACATATATAAAGAAATGATAGGCACTTTATAGACATTGCTACATATCTCATTATTAGTATACCAACCAATAATCGAAAAAAATTATACAAGTATAACCTTCTCGATCTATAAACCTACATATTTTTCAAACCCAACAACTCTTCAAGCAAAAAGCAAAATGTTTGAATCATGGTGGTTAACCCATCCCTTGGTGACATCCTTCAATGAATAGCGAGTGAACACCATCAAAAACCATGTGTCATAAATGCTCAAGTCATATTTACATACAATCAAAACCCTGATGTTATCTGTAAATGTATTTGTGTTGCTTCATTCTTCAAAAAAATATCATTAGTAACCAGAGCCACCATTCAGTTTGACTGTAATGTTTTATCCGATTCTTCTAAAATGCTAGAGTTTGGTAACTTGATATGTAAATACATAGAAATTAAGTTGCATGTATATAATATTTTTTTAAAAATAAATCTCTAATTGGAGCTACAAGAATAGTATTCAATTTTGCAAGGTTTATCTCCATGCAATCCTTGATTTGAGCGATGTGTATAAATTGATAATCCAACAAGATTAAAATTCACAATCAATCACAATAAAAATAGAATCACATTTCCTTAATGTACATGGCAATCCTACAAGGAAATTCATGTTCACATATTCCAAACAGTACTCATCATAAACACAGCCAACAAAATTCTGTTGTTGTGTACATTTATTTGTACTGCTTCAATCTCCAAAAAAATTCATTGGTAACCAAAGCCACTATTTTGCTTTACTGTAATTTTTTATCTTCTTATGAAATGCTAGAGTTTGGAAACTTGATATGTAAAATTCAAGCAATCTATGTTCACAGAATCTGCACATAAGTACTCATCATAAACGCAACGTAAACTCGAAGAACACAAGGTCCTCAGTAATCCAAGGAACATTAGCTCTTCAGAATAAATCAAATAGCACAAACTTCTCAGCATAACCACAAAGCACAGAAGGTAGTCATTATAAACCCAAAGAACATAAGGTAAAACACAGACAACAGAACCTTCTCAGCAAATAAAACCGATGAACACAAGGTCCTCAACAACCCAAAGAACAACTATTAGTCAGCTTAAACCTAAGGAACACCAACCTCTCATAACAAACTCAAAGCACAGAAGTTACTCATCATAAACACAAAGAACAGAAGCTTCTCTGATACCGGAGTAAACACAAATCATAATAGAAATGTACATATTATTGATGAATTTGAAACGGTTACAAATAAAGGACTCATGAAAATAGAAAAATGACAACACAAACATAAAAAACACCCTAGGGCAAGGATGAGAATGGTGGATGGCACCTGGACATCAGGGACGTGGTTGTGAGGGCAAGAGAATTGGACATGGACTCTGGAAGTAGCTGGAAAGCGAGTGAAAGGAGTTGTGGTGGTTGTCTGATAGGGTAGAGGAGTTGGCGGCAGTTCTAGGAGGAATGGAGGAGGTTATGATCGAAAATGTGGCTGGGGAAAGGGGAATAAGCGGTTGGAAGAGGGTGTTGGCTGAGGGGAACGTTGGATAGTGAAATTGGAAAAGGAATTTGTGTGTGCTTAGGGAAGGATTTGGATGGAGTTGACGACTTGGAGAAGGTCAGTGTGCGAAAGGGGTACCAGGAGGGATATCGAAGCAGCGATAGCAAGTTGGAAAGGGAGAGATACACACCACCTCGAGACGAGTTATAGCCAGAATAATTTCCTGCTGTCAGATACAACCCTAGAGGAAAAACAGATGCCGGTAACAAAAATCTCAAGCAAAAAACTAACCCTAACCAAAGAAAAGAGGATATATATATATATAACTGAGGGGGAGGGAGTCCAACCCAGCCCAAACCAAGCGTCAGTCAGCCCTTATCCATCTAGCTGAACCGGTTATCCAGTTCAGCTCCCCTGGCCCCCGCGTCATTCTCACCCTAAACCTGAAGAGCTAGGGTACTCAGCAACCCAAAGAACAGAAATTACTTGGCATAAACCCACATAACAGAAGCTTAATAGCATAAACCGAAAGAACAAATAATACTCAGCCTAAGCCTCATAAAACCACATAACAGGGGAAGGAAGAAGAGGAGGAGCTAAGCCCAAAGCATTATAGCAAAGAGGTTTGGAGACTAACGAGAATGAGAATGAGAATGAGAATGAGAATGAGAAGAGACATAAAAAAAATTAAAGTTGTTTTTCGATACCTTCAGAGGAGAAACACACCTGAACGAGAACGAGAACGAGAACGAGAACGAGAATGAGAAGAGCAATCAAAGCAGCAAATATGCAAGGAGAGTAATGCTGATAGAGTCAAGGGAGAAGATGTCAAAATTGCAGACCGCTGGTTGTAAAATGACTTCGTGAAATGTCTATTTGCTTCAAAAGTTTTTACAGAATGGCGTCGCAAACAACACTACCTCAAACAACACAATGGCATGACTCGGGACCGTAACGCGGCCCAAACACACCCAAAAGCACTATGAAAATTGAAATAATTTGCAAGTATCACAGCCCAGTTCATAGTTTAGAAGTTCCTAAGAAGATGGAGAATACAAAGCAACGTTTCTGAAAGGCTACATGGCATAATTTCTGTACAAATATAACTGACCTATAGTCAGACAACCCAAACCAATTTTCCAAAGCCCAACATTATTATTCCTCCTTTTAATTTGTATTTTAATGGAAGTGCAATCAAATCAAAATAAAAAATTACATTACCGTGCAATTTTCAAGTCTTCTAAACTAAGATTTTGAAAATTGAATTGGATATTGTCCAAAGTCCAATTGTTCAACTAGAATTAAATGACAGTTGAATCAGATGATATAACAAACACTAGAAATATTTCAATATCAGTTAAACAAATGATAATGACGCATTAATAATGTTTTCACCAAATACAATATACTATTTTATGTCAGTTGAATATTTTGAATATGACTCTAAATTAAAATTCTATGACTTGATATTTTAATTTTCTTTTCAATTTTTAATCTAAATAATTTATTTCTAGCTATATGATAGGAATTAAAAAGAAAATTTGATTAATAGTAGAGCCAAAAGATACATAAAAAATCGGGCCAGGTTATTGGTTAAGTAGTTCAACTGCAGTTATGACTGATTCTATACGAAATTAATTTTAAATTTAGACCGAATCAGCCGAAGGACTAACTCACAGTTGAAGCCCGAGCTGTGTTGATTTTTAAAACTAAAATTTGAATTGTTTGAGGATCCTTCCAGAATAACTCAACTGCACCAGCCCTTGGAAATTTTTTTGAGTCAAAGCAGAGGCATAACAATCCTAATTAATTGTTTCAACATATTTTGATGTGATCAGCGTAAAAACAAATGGTAGGTAAGATATAATATTACATTCAGATGGTTTGCTGAACTTTCTTCGTTAAAATAGCATTTTAGGTTTGGATTCAAGTGTTGAGAATTGGACCTTATTTAGAGTCCTATTGGTAAAAAGGAAATATTGAAGAAGACTTGGGGTTTATTTGTAAAATATTGTAACGCCCTATTTAAGCCCGTGTTATGAATATATAGCAAATATTTTCCAAACAATTTTTACTATAGCTGGCAGAGTGGGAAGTGGGACTTCCAGGAAAGCAACAGCAAGTCGGAGGAAAGGAATGACGAGGATGAAAAATTGAGGATAAATACCACCTTGGGAGCAAGATATAGCTGGAGCACCACTCGATCTTTAGAGGAGAATCATGACTTCAAAACAAAATACAAGTAGAGTACCACTCGCTCTTTATTTAATTTTTTATAATAATTTAAAAATTCATCAAGCATGCAAAAAATAGAAAAAAATAAATGGCATACAAAAGCTTAGTTTGTATATTTTATCTATGTATTTAATCAATCAAGGCCATAAAATAATTATAAATTTCATCAAAATGTCGAGTACTAATTGTCATGACCCGGTCTGAAAGTTTAGAATTAACTAAGTTGGGAACTACAGTCAGCCAGTGAAAACATTCAAATAACTATCCAAAAGTTTAGAATTAATGGTATTTCCCTCTCTAGATCTCTCTGGCTCGAACGAGGGGAACGGTGAGAGTGGCGCACGTTTTAATTTTTGTGAGATGTGTCTCCTCTAACCACTGACACCTATATATTTATTTTATTTATTTACTTTAGTATTATTCTTTTATTTCAGTTCTTACACTAATATTCAAGTCATTGAAAGATTCTACACATTGAAAAACTCAACAAACTTGTCATGCAATTGAAGCACATTATGAGAAAATTTTGATGCATCTTATTGAGGATCAAATGGTCTTAAAAATTTTCAAAATCACATATGCTAATAGTTTTATTATTTTAAGGAGCATGGAAGGTTATGATCTTATAATTAAATGTTACAACATATATATATTGAAATTTAACTAGTACTTAGGCATCCATCAAAAAATTTTGATGCATCTTATAGAGGATCAAATGGTCTTAAAAATTTTCAAAATCATACATTCTAATAGTTTTATTATTTTAAGGAGCGTGGAAGGTTATGATCTTATAATTAATGTGTGTCTGTGTGTAGATAGATATATACATACATACATACATACATTTATTAAGATTTAACTAGTAATTAGACATCCATCAAAAAAGAATAAAACAAACCTTCCCATGACCATGTTGACCACCAGTTTCATATTTGCTCCATTTCCAACTGATCCAAGAAAGAAGGACTTCTTCCCTAAGACATCAAATGCAGGAATTGCAGCATCATATAATTCCTGCAAAGGAAATTTAACGAATCAAAACATAAAACTAAACAAAAAAAGCTTTCATTGGGATGACGTGGATCATTTTATATACAGGATCACATTGAAACAAAAATTCATTCATTTATTTATATTTTCCCTCAAAACTACAACATTTCTACTAACTTGCCATAAATTCCTTCCTTCAATACTAAGCAGCAAATACCTTGTTGTAAAATAATACAATAATTATTCACAAAACAATACAGTTATAGTTCATGAAATAGTAAAATCATTGCTCACATGAAAAAAATTTCAATGCACCGCGAGTGCTTGCTTTCCTTCATCGCCCTCTCTCTATCATCTAAAACCCCTAAATTCAAAATTTACATTACGAACAAATCTCAACCTTACCTCCCAAACCTCATTGATTTCATCAAACAAACCAGCAACAATCATTTAAATTTTGAACTTATCCTAATACTATCCTAACTAACTTTATCTAGCGCCAAAATCAAAATTAAATTAGTCCAAACCCAATTTTAAACCCAACTGACTCATTTTTTGTCCTTTTTTTTGTTCATCATTTGCATCATCTCATTTTTAGCCCATGACCAATAAAGCGACAATTCATGTAATTGTAAATTAATCTTTTGTGAACAATAAATTTCTTTTTTTTACCTCCTTTAGCTTCTTATTTATATATGTATTTCAGGGTTAATGAATAATAGTTGGGGATTTCTTATCAAAGAAAATAAAAGAGAAAAAAATCAACCAAAAGCAATTTATATTCTTCTATTGAAAGGATTCAAATCTTCATCAAGAACATCAATACAATTGAGGCACCAATTTCATAAATCATCAAGATATCAAAAAAATATAAAAATTAACAGGATTTCCAAATAAAAAAAAACGCAAGTTAAACTAAAGATAATATGAAGCTCATGCCTCTATCAGAACATAAAAACCCACTCAACTAGATCATTTTGTTTGAAGCCTGATGAAAATCGGAGAGTGATTATCTTCTTATTTAGGTTTTGTTTTATAAATAAGATACGAAATTTCCTATCCACCAGAACACAAATCAAGAGGATGTCATGAATCATGATCATCTATAATTTCACCAATAAAAGAGAGATAAGAAACTTTAGGAGTAGGAAGATTAGTTTCAAAGATATTAATTGCAGTGGTGTAAGAAGTACATCCATGGTGCTAATAGAGCCAACCACAATAGTTTGGAATCTAAAAAGTAAAATCATTTGGTTCCTAATTTTGAGAGTAAACTTAAGATAATGAAGAAGCGGCAAACTTAATGGATAAAATGGATCAAAATAACCATTTGAGTGCATCTCTTATGCCCGAATGTTTGATAGTCTCACATCAAGATGTGCTAATTAGGGATGCCTTCAAATTCAACTTCCTGTCAATAATCACCAGACAATGTGCCAATCCACACATCCTTTGGAAGCAGATAAGTAATGCCCATTTTCGACAAGACTCTGGCCATTCATGGTCGAGAAAGGCAAGCAGACATTTCCCTATCCGATATACAAAATTTTTCAATATAAATTAGCCCTCAAGATTAATTACATCCTCACCAATAGATAGAAAACACTTACTGACCTCTAAAAAGGTCTAGCAATGGCTCTATTCTACTTGAAGCAATGAAGCCCTAGCCTAGTCTAAAGACCTCTAAAATATTCCTACCCTTCCGTGAGCTAAGTTGTCCCAAAGCAATCTAGGGCAAGCCTTAAAGATCACTCTCTACACAATCAACTTAAGGGGGCGACCCATTATAGGCTTAAACTTGTTTAATATAACCCAAATTATGTGGCCAATTTGTATTCCTGCATAAATTCATGATGCGCCAGTTCAGAACAGGCCTATTAAACCCAAAATGGTTTGGTCATGACCCATCCATGGCTTAAAAACATTCATTCATATTTTTGCATGCATTTCAAAATAGTGTTTTCTCTGAGGCAGCTTTAATAAAAGTTTGCTACAAATGCTAAATTTAAGAAAACTAAAATAAAATAAAACATTAATATTGTATATTTTTCAAACGCTGGCCATGAAATGTATGATGAATTAACTTCTAATGGAAAATAAGGGATCCAACAAAAGGCAAATAATCCACCAATAAAGCGGGGAGGTGAGGGAAAAGGAGTGGGCTTGGGATGAAGTTTCTTTGAACTGTGCAAATCCACATGCCTTTAAATTCATTGATTCTAGCGGTGTGCACTTAGCCAGCTTGAATGGTTTGGTCTAGAATTAGCTAAACCGATTTATTCTGATTGTAATCTTAGAAAATTGAACCTACAAACTATTTTCAATCCAAACATTAGTTTGGTTAGTTCAGTTTGATTTTAAGATTATTCAGAATTGAACTTTAACAATCAAATTATCTTTGCCTTAAATAAAAGAAGAAGACAAAATAACCTATGTTAAAATTTATAAATTTGATACGCGTCATAAACAATGTCAATGTTGATATTCAATGTCACTTATTCATCTACAAGACTGCATTGATTTAATATTTTCAGAAATTAATAAAATTAGATTTTTGGTTTGATCAGTTTTATAAAAATAAAAATAGAACCAAAAACCAAAAAATAAAGGTCAAAATTACAATTAATAACCGAACCAATACTTTGACAACTTAACCAAATCATCAAAATATGATTTGTTGGTTTAATTTTATTCTAAAAATGGACGCACCTAATCAAATCTGATCTTCTAGGGGACAAGATTCAATTTCTTCAAATCATTTCTATCAATAAGGGCTCGAGTATCATAAATCAACCTAATAATGTGAATAAGGAAAAATATATTCTCACCTTATCACCAGCAGCAAGTATTATTAACTGACCATCTTCAGCCGGCTTTTTGCTGCCAGAAACTGGAGCCTCAAGAAAACTTCCACCCTTCTTAGTAATAGCCTGCAGGAATAAAGACACAGAAGGTTAAGTAAAGTTTCAGTCTGTATGCCATCTGAGTGAACTAAATGAATTATAAATTGGGTTCTCTCGCCAAAAAAGCTTGATAGTTTCATATTACTAATTTGGGGGCATTTACATACATACCACCCAATTCTCATGTAATTACATATCTAACGCCTAAACTTTGATTTTTAGATTTATACTGCACTAATCTCTTATATTAAATAAAAAAGAGCACTATATTAACATTTAGACAATCTTAACATTTAGAAAGAGAGATACACGTTTTCAAGCATAGGTAAGGTGGCATACATGTAAAAATTGAAGTTTAGGTGTTAGATCTGTAAATACATAAGAGTTGTATGCATGTAAATCTTCCGATTTATTTAAGGATATCCCTCACTACTATCACCAGCATGAACGATGGAAAAGCATAACTGAATTCGCAAAAAGGGAGTTTAATTTTTAATCTACCACATGTTTAAAGAGGACTGGTTTCTAGAAAAGTCATGATAGTTTAGAGTTTCCATATATATAAGATGTGTTCAATGAGAAAAAGGCTATGGCATTGGTTTCAATCATTGGAATTGTGAATCAAATTTTTAATGTTTTATTTTCTTTATCATATATGGTTGAATTTCCAAAAAAAAAAAGGTTGAATCTCCTCTATAAATGCATATTTTCAACAAATCCATTTTTTTCGATTGTGGGAAGGTTTTGGAGATCGTGCATTAATGAAAATATCTTGAACATATTTTTTAACTTCGACGAATCTTGTGAGATATTTTATTGACTTTTAGTAAAATATCTTGTGGGAATTTATCATAAATTCTACCCCAAAAACTAACGCAAGGCTCCCAAGGGGGGCTGAATCGGTTGGTTCATCTGAATCCGTTCAACCAAGTGGGGAGCAGGGCCGGCCGATCCACGATGATGGGCGAGGGTTGCCACCCAAGGGGAGGGGCCTCCCCCTCCTAATTATCCACTACATAGATTTGTTATTTTCTATTATAGAGTTAGTTTTTGCTTGAGATTCCTATCAGGACTAGGGGTGTAAATGAGCCGAGCTAGCTCGAGCTCAGCTCATTAAAAAGTTCGTTAGCCGAGCTTATGAAGTCATGAGCTCGAGCTCGAGCTTGTCCCAGCTCGACTCGTTGGCTCGTGAGCCGGCTTGATTAGCCTACTGTCAGTCATTTCAATGCATTTTCTAGCGAGTTATCGTTGCATCCTCATCCAGCCACCAATACCCTCTCTGGTTAGCTACCATAAAAATGGAATTTTTAGTTCAAGCTCACAAACAGACTCTCGAGTCAGTTGCTACCACTATGAGCCAAGCTCGAGCTCGAGCTCACTATTTGGTAGACAAGCCGAACCCAATAAGGGCATGCCTCGAGCTCTACTCAACTCGTTTCACCCTAGTCAGGACAACCGTCAGTCGGTGTGTCTTTATCCCCTTCTAAGGTGTAATTGAAGAAGAGAATGTGCTTCCTCCTGTATCTGATCTGAGGCGGTGACCTTTTTCAAGGATTCAAGTGGTGCCCTGACTGTAGCTCGATCGCAAAGGGATATTTATCCTTACCCAAACCCTTCGTAGATTTTTTAGCCATCTACCTCGTTTTTGTTGTCCCCGGACAGCCCTCCATGTGTTGTCTAGTGCCACCAGTAGCCCCCCCTACTTGCTTCCATAGCCGCAGATTAATCCAACATGCTTGCATTCGCACTGCCTCAAGCCACTTGTCGGTTACTATCCACCTCCTCC